AGGTAGCGTTGCAACATACAACTGATGGTCGAGAATAGATACATGCGAAGTTGGGGGCTTTTCGAAGTTTCGAACTTATATCCCTCCAGAATATCGAAAGCTTTAGTAAAGGCGTAGGACGAAGTCACCCGTGCCATATCTGTTTTCGGTGGAGTATCTGCAGGAGGCTGAAAAAGGTGTAAGAGAAAGGAAGGACGAAAAGCAGAGCACACAATATTCACGGAAGAATAGTTAAGGTATAACCATTTAGTCTATTTGTCTGTTACTGTAGTATTTATTAGGTAAGAACATACTAATGTGTTAAAGAAAAATAAGTGTGGGCAAGGTATGAGTGGATAAGGAACTGTATAAATGAAGGTAGTTCAGAAGGAAGTATGGAATTGTGTAATTACAAAATAAAGTGCTGAAAACAGTACTCCGATACAAATGACTGTCTCTCTTTACTTTAGAAGCTGTTTGAACTCTCTTTTTTGTTTTCAGATTTTATAGGGTATAGAGTGGGCTTCGTTTTTAGCCAGTTGTCTAGTTTGCTTGTATTAGGGTTACTCGGTAGGAAGTGGAACCAATTGAGCTTTTTTTAATATAATTCAAAGTGGTATTTTGCATAAATAATTTCGCATCAATACCGTTAGTTCATGACATCCCACTAGACATAAGGAGCCGTAATTAATATGTTCTGCCCCACAGACACGGGTGGATTGAAGTTATCTCCCCACCATCATGTTTGCTGGTCAGTAACGCCACCCTCCCTCCTTTTATAATGTTAGGCTCTCTTACGCTTGTGGTCGGTATGAATATTGCTTTTATCAAGGACCATATTTGGAATACACTGTCTCTACAAGTTCCATGTTACAAGCAAATCAGATGGTAATAGCATTTGTATTATGGGTTAGATATCCATTTAATATATCGTACTACTATGAAGATAACTAATGGTAAAGGTTAGAAGAGACAAGTCAGATTATATGTGACTAAGAGGTGGTAAGGGCTAATAGCAAATCAGAGGATATGAAAGAGAATATTGTGAAATTTTCAGGGTATGAAAAATCAAACATTGAACAACTCACAAGAATTTAGGACGTATGAGCTTCTTTTGATCGGCCTTAGTTGGTCAGCATCCATAAGATTAGTGAGTTATCTGTCTACTTGTAATAAGAAAAATAAAAGGACATGACACTTAGGAAGAATAATTTGGATTTATCTATTAGAGAGATTCGGAAACTGAAAATGAGGGTTAGGAGCGGAAGGCCATGGTTAATAATCAATAAATAGTGGGGAAGGATAAAGCATGTTTTCTTTAGTTTTGCTATATTCATACTGACGACAATGGAGTTCGTTATATTCTTGTTCCGTCTAGATATTGGGCGGTCCATAATGAAGTGCCTCATTGGTAGGCGGGAGTTCAAGGAATAGTTGGTGAAGTTCTTTAGAGTTTAGTAACAGGGTTATTAGCCTTTTAAATTTGGTAAAGGTGTCACAGTTACGGATAGGTATTGGCAACCTGTTCCACAATAAACTATACCGAACTGTAAAAAACCTACAACGCATTTGTTTTTGGTGTTTTTCGGTAAATAGTGTATATGCATTGTTTCTTAGTCTATAGGCTGGGTCATTGATCATAGTTGGGCAGGAGGTTAGGAATGACAGTCCATTTATTGCTTTGTAGAGAAATATCAGATTGTTCCTTAACCTACGGTGACATAAAGGTTCTAAAGAGAGGTGCTTACATCTACTTGTATAATCAAGAGTGGTGTCACTTCCTAGCAGTTGGCGTGTAAAGCGTCTTTGAACATCTACTCTTATTTTGTCAGTGGTATTCATATTAGAGAAGATAAAAGAGCAGTATTCAAGGGAAGGTCGTACACATATTTTGTAGAGGGTAAGCTTAGCATCTGCCGTGAAGAAATTTTTTGTTATGAAGCCAATTAGACGTCTGGCTTAAGAAATAATAGAGGAGGCGTGTGCTTTAAAGTTTAGGCTTCCTGTGTAATTTATTCCTAGATCGTGTACTGAATTAAGTGTCTGGACTTTACTTTTATTTAAGTAAAGTTGGGGTTCATAGGGGTGCTTTCCAAAGTGCATGATCCCACATTTGTGGAGGTTAAATGGTAATTGCCACTTTTCGCTCCAGATAGTTAGGTTATTGAGATCATCATGAGTCAGGGGTACACTTTCACTTAGAACCTCAGGCTTATAGCTGTATACTATTTTGAGATCATCAGCATATAAGTATGGTTTCCCAAATTTTATGATGTTACATGTATCGTTTATATACATGAGAAACAAAGTGGGCCTAATACACTTCCCTGGATGACTTCACTAGTTATTGGTCTAGGTGGTGAGAGACAGTCGTTGTACTTTATCATTTGTTTACGTCCCTTTAAGAATGAAACAAACCATGAATAGAGTGGGTTATTGATTCCGAAGGACCGTAGTTTGGCTAGTAGCCGTTTGTGTGGAACCTTATCAAAAGCTCTCTCAGTCTAAAAATATGACTGATACAAGGAGTCCATTGTCTCGTTTCAGAGTTATATCATTCATGTAGTCCACTAGACGTGTATCACATGATCTGGACCTAAGAAATCCATGTTGGGAGACCGAGATGAGATTATTAGTAATTACATGTTGGACTAACGCCGCATTAACTACTTTCTCCATCACTCTAGACACCACTGAAGTTATGTTTATGGGTCGGTAACTTTCAACATTTGCTTCAGGTCCTGTTTTAATTTTGGGAATGATGTGTGTAGTTTTCCAGGCAGTAGGGTAATGCGCTGTAGAGAGTGATGTCGCATATAGTTTGAGTAATAAAACACACATCATCGCCTCCACGTTTTAGCATGCTAGCCGGAATACCATCTCGTCCATCAGTGTAGGCGTGTTTCAGTGTACTAATTGCCTTAGAGATATTCTGTACATTGAAGTCTACGTTAGTAATCTCACAGGCAGATGCTGTGATAAGTTCTGAATCATTAAGTGGTTTTTCATCAGTTAATGAGGAACAAAAGTGTTCATTAAATAGTTCCGTAACAAGTTTAGGATCTTCGTATACTTGTTTGTCTTTAATAAATATGTTTCCTCTCGACTTAGAACGTTTAAGTTTATTTTGAAAGAGTGTGGTGAGTGCTGAGGAGTTATTACTAAGTTCGACAGCACGTTTTTCCTGTTCGATTGCTTTTTGTGTACTTATTGCGTCTGTCTGAACAAGTATTTCTGTCATCGTTACTAAAGAGAAGAAGTCATTAGAGTTGTGGAAGCGAGTACAATGTCTCTGCAGACGTCTTCGTGTACCGACCGGTATAAGCAGATCTTTAGAAAACTTAGGTCTCCAGTACCCTAAAGGTGCGATTTTGTTCATGATACTTTTGATGTTGTGATAAAATATATTGGTTAGTGTGTCGGTATTGTTTGCAGTAAAGAATGTTCCCCAGTCAGTGCTTCTTAGGTAATTGTGAAAATTATTCCAATCTACCTTGCGATAGTTTCTACGAAGGGTTACATTTTCACGTCTACCGTTTGTGTTTTTTATATTAAGGCCACATACGACAGTGTTATGATCACTACCTGGAAACTTTTTTCCAATATACACAGTATTGGGGGTGAGGCCACTGGTAAAGACTAAGTCGAAGATATTTTGATGTCTGGTAAGGCTATTAACATATTGAGTCCACTGTCCTAGTTCTAGACATTCAATAAATGATTCATAACGTTTCGGAGCTTTGACTGGAAACCAGATTGTGGTATTGTAACAGGTCGATACCAATGATTGGCATAGAGACATCTGCAACCACGAAAATCGAGTGTATGGGTTTGCGTAAACCTACGTTAAGGTAGACGTACCTTTTACCGTAAGTAGCGATCGGTTTTCCGTTTGCCGCCTGTAAACTTAAAACAGACACTTGAAGTCTGTCGTTGGAGTTCACGGGAAGAACGCTAACTTCTGCGCCGGTGTCGACGAGGTAGCGAACTTTCGTGGTCACATCAGTGACATATAAAAGGCGGCTGTGTTCGCCGGCTACGGTTGCCGTTAACGCGTGCCGGCTGGAAAGTTTCCCGAACTGGTTTTTGTGTTGTAGGGTCGGTGAAATGTCACCGAATATCGAACAGATCATTGATCCCTGTCAAAGTCAAGGATAGTCTACGCGCATCAATCAATCATATGCCATGGACTGGCCCACGCGACAGTGGTTGCTCTTTCACTTCTGTACTATCGTATTTGTACCTTAACTAATATATTCTTGTAATAACGTCCTTTGTGTTGTACAGCCTCCATAGCGTCCATGATTCTTTGATGCGTCGATGGTTCAATCCACGTAAGGGCCGGTCGCGAGGTGTGACTTCAGCGTTAGTTGATTCGTCACCATTCTCGTCTAACTCTAGTAGGCCCCTCCAATCATTTCGACATAGAACATCAACGTTGATGTTCTACAGTGTCATTCAATTTTGAGGTCGGATAATTGCAGGGTTTCCTGCAATTTCTGGAAGACTTACCGTACTGGTTATGATGCCAGCACCAGTCGGGGTTGTCTGTCTCTCGTGGTCGAGAGACAGACAAGAGATCGTGTAAAGACGGAAAACCTTCGTACTCAGGTCATCTGATATCAAATGATCAGCTACTAGTTTAAGATGTACATGTTCAAACACTAACAGACTGTATTATAAATAACATATTCACATTTAACATGGTCACAAACAAGGTGCTTAGGAGGAGCGAAAGCGATCAGGAGCATCAATCCATGCAGAAGCTGTGAATATAGTGTTCGAAAAAAGAAGCAAACCATTCTCTTCAGCTTCTAAAGGACATCATGACAATAGAGAGATAGACAGTAGAATATAGATTATAACCAAACCTGTTGAAAAGACATTTCATAAGCCATCGAAATTCTGAGACGCAAACAACTCACATCCTACATGAAAATATGCTCAAATTGTCTCTACAGTGTTCGGTCTACGACTGGTAATCACAGAGAGCTTGGACATCGACTCAAGCTGCACTGGCGATGCAGCTAAAGTAAGTGCAATCATTCAATTTATACGAATACAACTCGACGCAATCACCTCACAACCGTCCCTGATACTCCACAAAGAACATACTCACAGCCTCACCTCAAATATCGCAATGTTGCTAAGCTCACTCTCTTCAGAGGAAACGCAAACCTGACAGACCAAGTATAAGGATGACTGCCCGATTGGGTGGTGAGGTTGTCGAACGAATCTCACGGAGACAGACTCAGACACTTGAGGTTGTTCTTGTGAAGTTATGATGGAATAAGAGGTGATCTGATAATGACATTCAACCTACTAAGTGCTCCAAGTTACTCAAAAGCGAACACCTCAAATATCACAATGTTGCTAAGCTCACTCTCTTCAGAGTCACCATCACACGTCATTAACTCACTCCTATCTCACGATATACAAACCTAGGAATAATCAGTTATCTGACTAAAATTAATGCAATCGAGTGACTGGACTACCACCCACTGGGTATTACCAAATACCTGGAACCGTAAGGGAGCGACAAGCAGGTATCTCAAAGAAATCGATCAGTTTATACAGGCTCGTCAGACAGTAACTGATTATATTGGAAATTTGTGGTGTGCGGGTTGCTTGATAACATATAACATATTATTATGATTAACCAAATTCTTTTTTTCCTCTATTATCGTTCATATACCTAGGTTCTTACCTGGAGGTATTGGTGATCCACTGCTACCAGACACGGAAGCCCGTTAAGCGAAAGCTTCTTCTATTCCGTCCTCAACCATTTGATAGGTACGCTTCTTTTGTGTTTGTCGTATCCTTGAGATCGTCCTTCGCCTGTTTTATGTTCTTTTTTCATGAAGCACGTATAAATTATCGAGAAGTAAGTTTCTCATAGTGCGAGTAGTTTGCCTGGGTTTATGAGCTAAAATATAAAGAAACTGGTGACACAACATAGCAGAACTGACTGTATACTCTTAAGGAGTATACTCCTTAAGAGTTGTCAAATGCTGGAATTGGCTGCCGACTGAGCTAGTTCAAGCAACTTCTTAGGAGTCCTTTAAAAGGAAATTTGACATATACTGTAGAACTAAGGATAACATCTTATTACGATTTACCAATTTCCCTTTTTTCCTCTATTATCTTAATTCTTGAGTGTAGATCAGGATTGGGTAATGTGTTTTAGGTATAATCCCCACTATTCTACCAGTCTTAGGACTTTTCAGGAATCCTCTGATTCTGAAAGAAGGTTTAGAATTTTTCCACATATTCTATGAAGTAGTCTTTATTTCATGAAATCTGCAAAACTGTGCTTAGGAACTTTTAGCTAATAATGGCTATGAGATAACTTGTCACTAGAGATCTATTCATATTAACATCTGTTACTAGTTAGTCCTTCTATTATTTATGTTGAGGAAGCTATCTTAACATTCAGTCCAGAGTGTTTTTTGAAGGTCGGGGATAATCAGGAGAGAGTACAGATTGTCTGTGTTATTTCTCACAGTAGTTATTCATGCAAAATGCTGTCACTTTGTAAGTCGCCTCACCTGTACAGCTAATATTGTGTTTTCCACCAACCGATTTCAGCCGGTAATCTTTTAATAAAACTCCAAACCCTTCATTCATCAACTTGTAATCTATGTTTCTCGAAGATCAATTGCATTTGCGAAGGATGTAATTGGAGATCGGATACATAACCGCATATGTATTTTAACCCAATATGGTATGACATCCTGAAATGTTTTTGCCAGAGCAACTAGCGACCCTGTAGTACGGACATAACATCCCAAATCTTTAAACAAAACGTCACTGCAACTCACTCTGATCAATTCATAGCTTGTGGCGACCCTTGGGGCTTTTAATATAGTATGATCAGGGACACCACCAACGGTACTGATGAAAGTCAGTGCAGTTAGTATGCTTTGTCACATTTTGCATGGAATCGCTATAGCTACCAACTTCCTTACTAATTAGTCAGTTCATCTAACTCGACATATCGTTCAAAAGCTCACAACTTCCGTAAATAGCACCAATCATTTTTAGCTATTCACAGATAAATTGGTATTGAGGAAAACCTAAAGCTTTTTCCTTAGAAATGCGATTCCCGATGGGTTCCTGCCCCAAAAGTAACCTGTCTTTACCTACTGTTAAAGCGTTCCCGATCCATGGATGAATGGTCTTTGTTATGTGAGACCTAGTATGATTCTGTATTGGTTTCATTTTAGGCAGTTATTAGAAGTTCCTCTAAAACCACTAAACACTACACCTTTGAAATTTCAGTTGCTTTGATCTGTCGCTATTACTTTTCCATCATATAGGGATTTGTCAAGAGAAAGGAATTTTTAAATCATTTTAAAATCTCCATATCGCGTCAGGTCGATAATGAGTGTAACCCTGTTAGTCATGTTAATAAGGAAGAACGGTTGACTTAAACTATACAACTGTACGAATAAAGAACGCGGAAGTTCATGTTTAAAGTATCGAAATACGGTTAAGAATCACTGTTAGGGTTAGGTGATCGGTTAGAGTTTTTATCGTAAACTGACATCAGCTATAATACAAGGATACTAAAACCATATTCTCATGCTAATTCTTAGCATAATAAACGATTAATTCGTCCTTGTAGCGTCTTTGTTAGCCATAATTTTTAACCCATCATTGTCATTCGACTGTGTACTTTACGTTTACCAGGAAAACAGTGGTTTCATTAGGCTAATTATCGCCCTGATGTGTTTATTTATCAGCCTAATTGTGGTACCTAACTTTCGGTTCCAGATAGTTATAACGTTGTTTACATTTCTAGCTTAAATCAGAGAGTAGTTCTTGTACCCGTCAGTCATGAACATTCACTTCATCGTTTAACTTTCTATGTTTTATTGATTATATTTTCAGTAGTGTAATCGACTAATCTACTGAAAATTTGGTTTGTTTTTGCTCCAAGTTCCCCATTGTACCTCATTGCCATGACAATTATAGCAGTTCCACCCTTCTCGGTGGAACTTTCTAACTTCTTGTAGAACAGGGTCTGGAAGAGTCTCTTTTCTAACTTCATCTGACGACACTGGAGTGTTTCAAATTGCCGCTGCTAGTACGCTCCGTATTTCTGGACCAACTGATATGGAGGCAATGATCATGTCTTCCGGTTCAGGATGCTGAACTCCAATAAGTCGTGAGAGGGCATCGACTTGACTGATAGTATTGGTTGACTGATACCTTATGTTAAAGTCGTAGCTCAAAAGCATTGTTGCCCGGCGCTGTAGTCTGTTAGCTGTGTAAACAGAAATCCCTTTCTTGGAATCGAATATTGCAATCAGTGGTTTGTGGTCTGTCAACAGAGTAAACTTACGGCCTTAAAGCATTTTATGAAATCTGTTGACAGCAAAAATGATTGCCAGGGTTTCCTTTTCGATTTGACTGTAGTTGCGTTCGGCTGGGGTAAATGATCTGGCAGCATGGGCAATCGTCTTTTCTGTTTTGTCTGGAAACACGTGTGATATAACTGCTCGAACTCCGTGACTAGAGAAACTTTGAGCTGAGCATTGACTTGGCATTATCAAAGGATGCTTGACATTCTGCTGACCGCTGCCAAGGTGTATCTGTGTTGTTGGGTGACATGGCTCAGAATCGATCACAATGGTGTAGGTGTGTACACTCTTTATCTTCCTTTAAACTGTGAGATTAAAATTGCTTCATATCTGTCTTCCTTCCTATACTATATCCTTATATACAAGCTATAATTTATATACTACCACCACCACCACTAAATTAACTACTTCTATGGATCTGGTGTTCATCTTGTTGTGCTAACGGGGTATGGCAACTTGGACCGATGCATATATGTGCCTGGTCCTACGTTGTGACTGACTGACTGCTGTTGTTGCAGTATTCGGTTAAGCTGGTCGTCTGATATCGGCATTTTAAATGGATTTTACTTTTTCCCTGTCGACACTATCATAATTGTTTTGCTAATAAACGACCCAGCTACTCCTATTGCTTAGTATTCTTATACAAATGACACTCGACAAGACCCCAAAAATCAGAACACGTTGAACAGGAACGAAATTGTACTCAAAATAACAAGGGTAGGTGAACAGCAATCAATCGTTTGAAAGCGTTCATATATTTATAGTATATGCATAAGAAGCTTCTAGATGTTTCTCCAACAATCTACCAGAGCTGATTGGTTTAGAATTAGTCAATCAGAGTGCGCCGTCACGATCATGCATATAACGTACCTTAATCCGATTTATTTCCCGCTAACGTCGAGTCTCGTTTTCAACTTCCTAAAAGTCACATTGTTAATAGTCATTTCTCAAAGCTATACCCAATTATTCTTTCAAAGCCCATATGTTTCCCATTATAAAGCCATCAGTAATGGTAAGTAATACATTGTGAAAATGCTCTTCAGATACTATACTTGTAGCCTTGATGTGATTGATATTGAGTTATATGATCAAGTAGGTGACCACAAGAGACTGTGTTTGACGGATATTTTAGTGCTAGTAAGGGATTCGAATACACAAATGGAGTGTGCGAGTAATGAGTTAGTTCGGCAATGTGTATTCAGACACACTGACGATACTCCGATTGGTCTCATCATCATAAAACACCAACTTTGGTGGATTGTGCGTATTTTACGAGCATCATCCCAGAGAGTTTCTCATTGTGCATTTTTTTCTGATGGTGAGACTGGTTTTGAAAAGCGGAGTGGTGGTCAGTTTATAACTTAGTGCCCATTTGGACTAATATTTACGTGTTTAGATAAATAAATAGGCTATCGGACAACGAAAATGGTTTTTGTAAGATGTTTTCATTTCATGGTTGACTCCATCACACTTTACTATTAACATAATTCTTTTTAAAATCTAACTGATGATTGTAAGCAAAGATGGGTAGTGACTAGCAGTGTAATCCAGGACGCGCGTTTCGTCCTATTTGGGACTCGTCAGCTGGATGTACCTGCATCACAGAGTTGATGTTCACTCCGGGACTCGAACCCAGTACCTTTCACTTCAAACGCCATCGCGTTATCCACTCGGCCACTGAGTTCTGATAACCAGTTGCTTGTGCAATGGGGTGAAGTTTCAATTCATTTACCATTGTTTTTTTGAATCTTCCCATTGATGCTTTAGAATTGCAACTAGTCAGTCTCTAATTGGCATATGTGCATACTGTGCGTATTGCCTCGATATAGCTTTAATTCACAAGCATTGTAATCAAAGATGGATTGTGACTAGCAGTACATTACTAAATGAATTTAACTTATAAATGTTTAAAATCCTTTGTTTTTCTTTTTCATTTGAAAAAATAAGTTTTCTACAGTCAATTATTATCCCAAATGCTGCATCGTACAGAACCGTATTTCGATCATTCATGAATTTTTAATCGTCCTGGATGTATAGGTTTAGGTGAAATTGATTATTTACTTATACAAGATCGATATGATCGTATATATCAATTTGATCCAATCCATAATCTATGGGGTTACGTTCAGTGAATAATTTCAAATGAAAATTTCCAAAAAGAGAATGTTGGTTAAATGAAAGTAAGAAATTACCACCATATACACCATCACGTTTATTCATGTTAACAAGAGATTTTGAAGTGTACAATTTACAATTGTGATGTTATGACAATTTCAAAAGAATTGAATATACTACTAAAGAATATAAAGAGTAATATAAATTTATGAAGAAGAAGAAGAATTTCACATCTTGGTAGATCTACAGGTTATTTATTAGCTAATGAATATGCAATGAGAATAACAATGAATATGATTATGTAAGTTTGTTTATATGTATAACAATTATTATTATTATTGTTTTGTCCTGAACTCTCCTTTCTAGTTCTTCCCAAGTACTCTTTATCCTTCTAATGTCCTTCTTGAATTCCCGGCACCATGTGTCATTTGGTCTACCTCGTTTCTTTTTGTCATAAGGATCTGAAGTTAGAGATTGTTTTGTGCGACACCTTGATGATCTTCGCAATGTGTTCTGTCTACCTCCGTCATTTTTTCTAGTTTTCCAGTCATTTAGAAGCTGGCTTGTTCAATGCCACAGTAATTTGTTGTTGATGGTGTTTGGCCAATGGATGTGAAGTATCTTACATAGACATCTGTTTATAAGTACTTGCACTTTTTGATGGTAGTTTTCCCAGTTTTAGCTTTGTACAATAGAAATGTCTTGACGTTTGTTTCGAAAATCCTGATCTTAGTGTCGGCTAATAGTTTTAGTGAATTGCGGATGTTATTTTGTTGTATGACTGATGCCCTTGCTTTTCTAATTTGTTCCTTAACATTTGCATCGAATCTTCCTTGTTTACCAATGATGCTTCAGAGATAAATAAAGGCTTCCGCCTGTTGCAGAGCTTCGCCATCAATTGTGATTTGGTTGCTACTCACTGTGTTTTATTTCAGGACCTTGGTTTTTCTCTTGTGAATGTTGACGCTGTGGAAGGCACTGCTACACTGGCGGACTTAGTCTGCATTTTTACTGTGTATGAGAGAAAAGAGACAAGTTGTCTGCGAAAGCCAAATCATCCACCTGTATGTAAGGTGACCACAGTATGCCATGCTTCTCTGGAGAAGTGGACGGTTATAATCCGGGGAACAGCTAGCAGGAAGAGCAATGACCGGCAGTGGACACTGTTGTCTGATTGTTTCAATGCATGTGTGGGTTGCACCCCATGCATGACTTCACAATTCAATCCCTCATAGCAGCTCCGTGTTATAGTGATGCTCTTCTGAGGTACTCTATAGTGCCGAAGAAGATTCTACAGGGTGTTTGTATCCATTCTGTCGAGTGCCTCGTCATAATCGAAGAATTTCACATGTTGTGATGAGTTCTATTCGACTGAATGTTCAACATTGACCAGCAGTGTCGGTACCTGATCGGTCCTCGCAAAAGCCACCTTCTTAGACTCAAAGTTGGGCACCTACTGAATCTTTCATTTAAGTCTGTGACACGCTGTTGAAAACTTCGCGTGGTACTGAGAGTGATACTGTGCATCTAGTTGTCACATTTAGTAAGATCTCCTTGCTTCTATATCTTGTTGAGGTATCCCTTTCTCAAATTCATTAGTGCTTGTTCTTACTGTTTATAAAAGTAGTAATGTTTTGTAAAATGAGAATTTCACTCATCTTTTTTGGCCCATACGTGTCAATGTGTGTAGGTGATTGTTAGTCACATAAACAACAACTTATTATTAGAAAGCGGTATGTTTTAATCTAAACAACATTCATAATACACTGACTATAGAGTATAGATACAATAGAATACCATATTATTTGAATAATGAGATAGAATGAGGTGATAGACGACAACAAAGTTCAATCATTGATATTTCTGTAAACAATTGAGGTCAACAGAAATATGTTTGTGTAATTAAACACTCCTATAATTAATACTGAGAAGAAAAGATAATGAATTCTACTTTGAGAATTTTATAGAATGTAGCAGAAATGTTAGAAGTTGGTGTTCTGTTATATTGAATGGGTTAAATGGAAGAGAATTGTCAATATTTGAAATCCTATTCGTGAATGCATATGACTTGTGGGTTGGTGTTGTTTGCATGAACTAATAATCATTCAGTACTTGTATTTGGTGATTGTGTGATTCGGAATGACAAATAGAATATGCTCGTCTGTGCTCACCTCGTTGTGTGTTGGTCTAGATTGCCCCTAAATGCCCTGGTACGGCTGAGAGTTGGGATAGTCCGCTCTCCCTCTCGAAATGTTCTCACATGGCCACGCGTATATAGCCTCTGACAGGGAAAGTGGTTAGTTGATTAACATCTCAAAAACCATGAGACTAGATGAATCAAGTTCGAATGTCATAGTGAGTTTTAGTCTCCTTAAAATTGGAATAATGTATTTCTGATGAATGCTATCTAGTGCGTTATATAGATCAAGGGTTTCTCACTAACTACCTGGAACTACCTAACATCTTATAGAAGCCATCGTAAGTGATTTATCATCGACGTATAGATTAGTGTTAGATACCATTGAAGAGTGTCTCAATGAGTGCTACCATTGCAAACTTCATATTGTCTCCTTGTTCGTTTTGTTTTTCAAATATATCATAGAGTGAAAGTAGAGTGGAATATTTATAATGGGAACTGGCTTGATAAAAGCAAACCACCAATTTGATTAGTATCGGTGTCCTTTTCTTCAATTAACTAGTAAACTGTATTGACTTAATGATTGACCATTTAACTGGCATACAGCTGAATAACTTATTAGTTTTAGTACAAATTTTATTATGAAAGTAATTATGGAATATTAGCTACTTTTTCCAGCTATTCTAGCTGACAGATTCTATACTGTGATCTGAACTGCTCGAGTAGTCACTTGGATGACTTCAGTTGAAGTTCAACTTGATAGGGTAGCAGTATAATTGCAATTAAGAAATGATATTTCAAAGAAAAGTGAATAGGAGATTTATTGTTGTGTATCCATACACAGATATTTATAGCCTTGTACAGATTTAAGAGTAATATGTTAGAGATTTCCAAGTAAATAATTCGATCTAATGAGATTTTCACAGCATGACATCCTAGTTGTTGTTGTTGTTGTCGTCGTCGTCGTCGCGTTTTTCTTTCTTCTGAAATGTTTATTTAATCTCAGAATATTTGCTTACTTTAAGGTTAAACTTTTATGTCTAAATATTATGATAAGAATGTTAATGTGATTCGTTATTGTAATGAACGTGAACACAGTAGTGGGGACAACTGAATGTATTTGAATATAAAATTAGAGGATCTCATAGTCAAATCTGTGAACCATAGAGTAAATACTTCATTTGCAAAATGTCGAACAATGGTTTGAAATTTCATTGGTGATACATACTAATTATATCTGTCGACATCAGCAGCACACACGACAAATCAAGTCTTAGTAGTAATATGTTTAGCTTAAGCACAAAGTTCTTTGAAGAATATATATATATGTATTGATAGATTATTAGCAAATACTTTATCACTTATTCTTGGGAATTCAAGAGATGGTTATAATTTATATAAGAGTAGAAGATACTCGTAAGTTACTATTATTTGGTGACAAATGCCTTAGAAATATTGCTCGCATCTGCTGGGATCACTGGGTAAGTAATAGTGAAGTTAGACACAGGCTATTAGGAAATGATGGTAAATCAGTTGATGAGGTTATGAATCTTCATAGACTGAGATGGTTGGGCCACGTGTTACATATACCTGAACACCGATTCCCAGGACGCGCTATGCTGACTAGTATCGGGGATGGTTGGAAGAGAGTTAGGGGCGACCAAACCAAAACGTGGCATCAGAGCTTAAAGTCACGAACTTCTAGTCTGAGCCATGTTGGTAGATGCAGACTACTTGGTTGGTGTCCGCGTGACCATCGTAACCAATGGTTGGAGACTCTGTGTGACGTCGCAGAATCGACCACAATGGCTTATGTGTATACACTCTTTATCTTCCCTTAAACGTTGAGATTAAAATTGCTTCATATCTGTAATTCTTCCTGTATTATATTCCTCATATAGAAGCTTTCTTTTATGTATTAGCACCACTGAATTTACAACTTCTATGAATTCGGTGTTCATCTTGTTGTGCTAACGGGGTATGGTAACTTGGACCGATGCATATGTGTGCCTGGTCCTACGTTGTAGCTGACTGACCGAATCTCTCCTGTTCGTCTCCGTTCGCTTGATTCCCTTTATCGTTTGTCTGGACCAACGATTTTATGGAATATACGTATTTGAAATCCATTCTCGTATTTGAATTATTTAATTCCGTTATTCACCAACGCGAGTGAATTCGATAATTATCTACGAATATAGTTGAGATGTATGGTTCAATAACAGTGATTTATTCAATCATCAAACGATCTAATTGGAGTCAGATAAAGAGCGATTAAATGTGATGAACTGAACAACAACCACGTCGACAACATAATCGTCCGATCTAATTGGCTTCAAATTGGAAGGCCAATAAATTACTAACCCAAATATTTACCATAAATAAGAAACTACATAGTTTTTCATTTTATATACAGCTATATTATTTTCACACACACACATATATATACATAATCTCTTTGACTTTCGACGTCGATCTGGAACATTTGGTGTATCAGCTGAATAAATTGTAAGCAGTTTAACTCAATGTAAACTTTTGGAGATCTTTGGTGAAGGAAATGTTTCTCTAGCGTAGACATTTTGTAAAATACTGAAACTGCAAAGCCATTAGGGTTTTATAACCAATGATCAGTGAGTTAGTCAGTCAGTCGTAGAGAATTTGGGATATTTATGCATTGTGTAGTATATTCATGGATTCAGTGGAACGTATCACTGATTTATTACGTGAAGACATTGATGGGACATAACCAAAAACGTTTAGTAAATTTGAGACAATTCCTGTCATAAATGGACGTCAATTGTAGAAACGATAAAACCTAGAGAATAATAAGACGTCATAAACCAGATTAAGAAACATCAACATAAGAAATGGATCTCTATGGGAAATCTCAACAAGATTCAAGAAAGGAAGAACAAGAAACTAGCAATGAACAACAGTCGAACGCGAACAGAGAAAGTGAAGGCGCAAGCAGAGTACGCAGAAACAAACAAGGAAGTAAAGAAGAGCATTAAAGCCGACAAGCAGAATTACATGAGAGAACTATCAACGACGGCGGAAAAAGCCACAAGAGAAGGAAATATGAAACAACTATATGATACAACGAAGAAATTGGCAGGGAGATATAGCAAACCGGAGAGACCAGTCAAGGACAAAGAAGGCAAGACAATCACAGAGATTCAAGAAGCGAGGAAAAAGTATGGAAACTTCTTCGACACTATGGAGTTCCTGAGAAGATTGTCAACATTATCCAGAACTCATACGATGGACTACAGTGCAAAGTGATGCATGGAGGACAGCTGACAGATGCATATCAAATGAGGACTGGAGCCGGACAAGACTGTTTACTCTCCCCCTTCTTCTTTCTTCTGGTGATAGACTGGATTATGAAGACTTCTACATCTGAGGGGAAACACGGAATACAATGGACATCTCAGAATCAATTAAATGATTTGGACTTCACAGATGACCTAGCCCTCCTATCTCATACACACGAACAAATACAGACGAAGACAACAAATGTAACAGAAGCCTCTGCATCTACAGGCCTCAACATACACAAAGGAGAAAGCAAGATTCTCAAATACAACACAGAGAACACCAACCCAATCACACTTGATGGCGAAACTCTGGAAGAGCTGTAAACATTCACGTACCTGGGAAGCATCGTTGATAAACAAGGAGGATCTGATGCAGATGTAAAGGGGAGGATTGGCAAAGCCAGAGCAGCATTTCTACAATTGAAGAACATATAGAACTCAAAAAACTGTCAACTAACTTCAAAATGAGAATCTTCAATACGAACGTCAAGACGGTCCTACTGTACGGAGCTGAAACTTGGAGAACTACTACATCCATCGTGAAGAAGGTACAAGTATTTATAAACAGTTGTTTACGCAAAATACTCAACATTCACTGGTCAGATACTATCAGCAACAGCGTTTTATGGAAGAGGACAAACCAGCTTCCATTATTTATTTATTTATTTAAACACATAAATATTGGTACAAGGAAGCACCAGATAAATATGCGCCTCACAAATCTCATTCGATTTGTGTGAGGGCTGTGATACTGACCAGGTGCCCAGACTGAAGCAGGTGGTTTTCTTAGGGGGCCACACCCGGAGCCTTTGACCAAAAGGTCTGATCCACAAGGCAGTGGAGCATCGTGAGGAGATGCAGTCCCATGGTAGCCGTTGACCAATGACAGGTTCGTCCGCCATTCGTTCCATCAGGATACTGGAGCCCATGTGCACCACTGGTTTGGAATCAGGGTTTTCCAACTCCCCTAGGTGGACCCTCCGTGTCCACCAACCCGGTTAAAGCGCCGGACATTCGCTTTTCGTCCTCTCACTTTCGTAAACAACACCCGTGGTGTGAGAAGGCAGTGAGTAGGACTTCCCTGTCAGAGGCTATATATTCGCGTGGCCATGTGAGAGCATTTCGAGAGGGACAGTAGACTCTCCCTACTCTCGGCCGTACCAGGGCATTTGGGGGCAACCAGCTTCCAGCTGAAGAGGAAATTAGGAAAAGTCGTTGTAAGTGGATAGGACATACATTGGAGAAACCACCAATGTGCATTACAAGGCAAGTCGTAATATGGAATCCAGAAGGTAAAAGGAAAAGAGAAAGGCCAAAGAACACATTACGTCGGGAGATAGAAGCTGATACGAAACGAATAAATAAAACTGGAAGGAACTGGAAAGAATTGCCCAGGACAGAGTTGAATGAAGAATGCTGGTGAGCGGCCTATGCTCCTCCACGAGGGGTAACAGGCGTAAGTAAGCAAGTAGTGTAACGCAGATTAATGTCAAGACTTGCAGATATCACATCATGGATGTCATCATTCGATAGATTAAGACTTACTCGATTGCAGAAAACTATTATATTTATGATTTTCGAGTATTTATTCGTTTGTAAACCACTTGTTTACTAATCCTAGTGGTATACTAAGTGTCATTGAAGATAGTTATATTCTTTCCACTTGAAACATACAGCTGTTCAAAAATGATACATTATCGCATTCGAAGACGGTGAGTGTGTGGAAATCATCAAACTGCATGAGGAGTAAAGCCGTAACTTGGAGTTCTCAAGCCAAAAGAAAAAATTTGGGAGACCAAAGAACACAATGTACTGTAAATCGGGAGCAGAAATAAAAGGAGTGAATAGCACGTGACAACAACGGGGAAGGAGAACTCAGAACAGAATTGGTAACAGGCATAAGTAAGTCTTGTTTGTTTTTTTTGCACTCGTTTTTATGTCTATATTTCCTTCACAGTTTACGTTATATCCTTCCCTATGGTTGCCATCAATGGTTCAAACATAGTGGAATGGCTGACTATTCAGTCAGTCAGCTACAACGTAGGACCAGGCACATATATGCATCGGTCCAAGTTGCCATACCTCGTTAGCACAACAAGATGAACACCGGATTCATAGGAGTAATTAATTTAGTGGTGGTAGTATATAAAGAAAGGTTGTATATAAGGATATAGTACAGGAAGGAAGAGAGATATGAAGCAATTTTAATCTCAAGGTTTAAGGGAAGATAAAGAGTGTATACACCCACGCCATTGTAATCGATTCTGAGCCATGTCAACCAGAGTCTACAACCATTGGTTACGATAGTCAGGCCGACCCCAACCAGGTAGTCTGCATCTACCAACATGGCTCAGACTACAAGTTAGTGACTTCAAACACTGATGCCATGTTTTGGTTTGGCCGCCCCTAACTCTCTTCCAACCGTCCCCAATACTAGTCATCATAGCGCGTCCTGGGAATCGGTGTTCAGGTATACGTAACACATGGCCCAACCATCTCAGTCGATGAAGATTCATCACCTCATCAACTGATTTACCATCGTTCCCTAATACCCTGCGTCTAGCCTCACTATTACCTACCCGGTGATCCCAGCAGATGCGAGCAATATTTCTAAGACATCTGTGGTCAAATACTAGTAACCTACGAGTATCTTCTACTCTTAATGGCCATGTTTCACAGCCGTAAAGTAGAACAGAGCGAACTGATGCGCAGTATACTCGTCCCTTAATTGATAGACGGATATCTCGTCTTCGCCATAGATGACGTAAGTTGGCAAAAGCCAAACGAGCTTTTTGAATCCGTGCTGAGATTTCGTCAGACACCAACACATTAGGGCTGATCACACTTCCAAGATAAGTGAAGTTGTCGACGCGTTCGACTACTTCACTCCCTATCCTTAGTTCGGGTGTTGACGCAGGCCAGTCCTGGAGTAACAATTTACATTTGGATGGGGAGAAACGCATCCCAAACATCCTGGCATTATTACTCAGTTCCAACAGAAGACTCTGCATTTCGTCAGCGTCTTCACCAAACAGGACTATGTCATCTGCGTATTCTAAGTCGCTTAGTGGTCCCCCTGGTAGGAGATCAATTCCTGTAAATTTAGTCGACGAGAGTGTTATTTGCAGCAACAGGTCTATAATGAAGTTAAACAAAAATGGGGATAGTGGACAGCCTTGACGGACACCACTTGAGGTTGTAAAATCATATGACAGTTCGCCATAAGCTCTCACTCGACTGATAGTGTTCGAGTAAAGAGCCTTTACAAGGTTTATGTACTTCTCAGGTACACCTTTCAATGACAGACACTGCCACAGAACCTCTCGGTCTACAGAGTCAAATGCTGCCTTCAAGTCAAGAAAAACTATCATTGTCGGACGCCGATAAGCATGTCTGTGCTCTAAAACTTGACGAATGGTGAATATGTGGTGGGCTGACTATTCACACACATGTTGAATAGTATGAGAGTTTCCACTTCCGGTAACACAATGGTCACTGTGAAACAGATGAGGAATTATTCAATATGATGGTATAAAATTGTAAGCAGCTGACGAGAAACCGCAAACCATGGTGAATTCATGATGTTCTGCTAAATTAATTGTCCTTACTTCAGCAAAATTTATAAATGGAGAAAGTTGAATGAAACGTCATAATATTGCCAAATACAAACTATCTATCTGAAATTGTCTCAACAGGTCATTTTGATCACAAAATTGACAATAACTAGTTACCAATAAGTAGTAGAAGTAGTTCAGGTAGAATACATGATGGACATAATTTTAAATGTATTCAATGAGTAGACAAACACGACATCAATAATTGTGCTTTGTCAATAAGTATAAACATCTCTGTTCTACAAGATGTCAGTTGTGTTTTGAGTAATGTAGCAGTTGATTCTCATACTGCAAAATTGAGTGATCTGAATTCTAAGGAGCAAAAACGCTCTCAGGTCTACTAAAATCTCGCTCCATACTACACACTGGAGCCTTCAACGTACGTACCTTATTTCAAATCGGTCAACAGGCCTCCTTGGCTAAAACCCTAGAATCTCGTACGATTGATGTATGCTGTGTTTGTGGAACACGCATACAGGATCCTAGTGTGGTCATTCACTTGACCTCACCTCGTCAAAATGGACAGCCGACGAGATACACCCTCCGTGTATCTGGTGACCCATGACTAGTTCTCGTGGACTTGTAGGTGTAGGCATGGCATTTAGTACGGGGGCAGAACAAGCACTAGTAAAATGGGTCCCTGTTAACAGTCGTCTGTGTGCTGTCTGGCTAAATGGCTCCGTAAGAACTCGGAAGGATTGGGACACACGTCGTCGCGTTTTCGTCGTTTCTGCCTACGCTCCCACTGACTGCAGCCCGGGTGTAGTGAAAGATGACTTTTACAGAAAGATCTGTGAACGTCTTCAAAAAGCTAAGCGCTCAGACATAGTAATCGTAGCGGGTGACTTTAATGCCCAATTAGACAGCTTAAACCAAAGAGAAATACATTTAAGTGGGTATTTTAGTATTCCGGCTCAGCGAACAGATAATGGTGATTGTCTGTTGCAACTGTGCTCAGACAATCGTTTATTTAGAGCAAACACTAAATTTAAGCATAAGGAAAGACATCGTCTATCATGGCGACCACCTGCACCAAACCAACGATGGACTCAAATAGACCATATTGCCATCAGTCATCGTTGTAGAAGCTCGATAGAAGATTGTCGCTCGTAATGGAATACTTGTTTAGACTGTGAGCACGCTTTAATACGAACACACATTTGTTTGCGCCTCACCGGACGCAGATAAACTGCACTAAGAAGATCCATTGGGATTGAACTGGAGGACGAGAAAGCCAAAAGTAGATTCCAGGAACAACTGAGTTCACATCTAATCAGTTTTGTAAATGAAATTGACCCAGATGTTGGTTTAAAAGATATACGAGTAGCTGTGGAAACAGCAGTAACGTCTATTAGTGATTTAAACCAATGGATTTCTTCTAAATCTGTTGCACTTATGGATTGTCCTAAACTCATCTCATCAGGCTCTGAACACGACGAAGAGCGAAAAGAAATCAGATCTACGCCAGTTGAACTGCCCTTCAAAGAATTCCGCCCATCGTCCAAGACGTCGACAGATGACCGTGATTGGCATCCTGTCAACCTCACAGATTGTTTCACTCACACCAGACTTCTTGCTGCCAGTGGCTCGGATGAGTTGGAAGAGCTTCTGGCAGTTACCAGATGCAGCTACTGCTTACATCTCATTAGCATGCTCCGACCACCAGGCTTCTGTGCCCGACCGTTGCTGCTACCTTGACGTGGTGGTCGGGCTTGCCTATCGTGATGAAGCAATCGAGCTATGCTGGCTGGAACAATCGTTCCTCGAGGTCCTACCATGCCAGACAGGTCGATTGAAGAGCGGTGAGACTAAAAGCAGCAAACCCAAGGTCCGAAGGCGAAGTCGTACTGCTGACTGTACAGAGGTGTGAAAGCAGTAAGGTGTTTCCTTCAGACAACCAGCATGACAGCGATGCTGCCTTCCCACAAGGAGGGGTGGGGTTAGAAAAGGTCGACCCTAAAAATGCACACCTCGCCTTATCCCACGGATATCCGTCTCCGGCGGTAAGGTTTTTTTTGAAGAACGGAGCTAACACAAAAACTACCCACAAAAAGGTCGTGTGTGACCGACCTCAAGCAGTTGTCCCTTGGGCACTGCGGTCACGCTCTCCGGTCATTAAGACCACTTCTAACCCAATTTCCTTTTCAGGTACCTCTAGAAGAATCCTTCCACGGTGTGGGCAACCGGGAAGTGATAACTGCCCTCATACCTCTAACAACACTCAAGACCACTGTATTCATAATCAATCTCCTTCTTCAATTCCTACTACCTTGACTTTCAACACTAAACTTCCTCTCTCGGTTTCCTCCTCAAGTGTCACCATGGCCAACGATTCTAGTGCGCGAAACGCTGTCCCAGGTCTACTAAAACCTCGCTCCAAACTACACATTGGAGCCTTCAACGTACGTACTTTAAGTCAAATCGGTCAACAGGCCTCCTTAGCTAAAACCTTAGAGTCGCGTACCATTGATGTATGCTGTGTCTCCGAAACACGCATACAGGATCCTAGTGTGGTCATTCACCTGACCTCACCTCGCCAAAATGGACAGCCAACGAAATACACCCTCCGTGTATCTGGCGACCCGTTGGCTAGTTCTCGTGGACTTGCAGGTGTAGGTATAGCACTAAGTACAAGGGCAGAACAGGCACTACTAGAATGGATCCCCGTTGACAGTCGCCTGTGTGCTGTCCGGCTAAATGGCTCCGTAAGAACTCGGAAGGATAGGGACACACGTCGTTGCCTTTTCGTCGTTTCTGCCTACGCTCCCACTGACTGCAGCCATGATGAGGTGAAAGATGACTTTTACAGAAAGCTCTCTGAGCTTCTTCAGAAAGCTAAGCGCTCAGACATAGTAGTCGTAGCGGGTGACTTTAATGCCCAGGTAGGCAGCTTGAATCAAACAGAAAGACATCTAGGTGGGTGTTTTAGTATTCCGGCTCAACGAAGCGATAATGGTGATCGTCTGTTGCAACTATGCTCAGACAATCGTTTATTTTTGGCAAGCACTAATTTTAAACATAAGGAGAGACATCGTCTAACATGGCGACCACCTGCACCAAACCAACGATGGACTCAAATAGACCATATTGTCATCAGTCATC